CCACTTGCTATATCTAGGTAATACGCATAGTATGCACATATCCCAATTAAGTGGTCTAGAGGTTAAGTGCTCTGGCGCGAGACTGGTAGGTCCTGAGTTCGAATCTCACTTGCAAGGGAGGATCGTGGATGCGCAATGTTGAGGAGCTCCATAATAGGACGAAACGGCCGTCCAGTGCTTACAGGTTTTCCATGGTGGTCTGGCTTCAATCGACTTATAATTTCAACTATTAAAAATACTAAAATCTCCACAAAATCCCTCCTGATTCTAATTAAAATATCTTACAAATAAAATGATGTTTATAACATGTACTTATATCAATATGTAGGGTAATTATAATCATTCTTTAATAGTAAACTAAATGAATTGATTTATGTTACACATAAAATTAGATTATTTTCAAAGCATTTTGTGGCAAGATTATAATTTATGGAAGAACCAATCAGATTTACAATAACATGTCTTAGATTTCGGCGCGAAATTCATTCATCCACTTGACTAAATAGCGTTTTGGCATTTAAGCTGATGTCAGTTTGTGATGAAAACTTTAAATCTAATCCCTATCCTTAACCATCGATTGTGGATAACGCGATGGTGTTTGAAGCGAAAAGTACTGGGTTCGAGTCCCAGATTGAACATCAATTCTGAGATACAGGTACATCCAGCTGACAAGTCCCAAATATGACGAAACGAGCGTCCTATATTCCACTGCTAGCCACTATCCATTTTTGCTTATAAGAATTCCAATTTTATTTCCGGTAACCCTAGGAGTTTGAATTTATTAATCACTGAATGTATACAAGAAAATGTTACCTGATTATATTCACCATTGATTTCTATTTTAACAACATGCAATTAATATTTTAACATGGATTAATCCATTCTGAATCTTACAATTCAAATTGAAAAGATAATAAATACCAATCTGTCTAAGTGAGAAAAAGAGACAGTGTGTGGGAGAGAGAGAGAAGCGAAAAACCATGTTTTTTTTCCCGTATATAATGAAAAAAAAAATTTTCAAATGTGAAATCTGTATAGTTTCAGATAAGTCGATCATAATATAGAATAGAGGGGGGAAGAAAAAATGGTTTTATCCGACAGAGATTATAAATTAATTATTGGTTGTTAACTATTATAGCAACAATAACAAAAAAGAAAAAAAAAGATTTATTCATAATATCGACTTGAAAAATTGAAATCATTCAATTTATGTTTATTACCATAGTCATAATAAAATTTATAATTCAATTATATTGTAAAGAATGTTCAATTCCATTACTAGCTACTATCCATCTTTGCTTATAATGCTTGTGAATTAAGGCTATATCGAGTCAATACTCACAGTATGCCCATATGCCAATTAGAGACTGAACAGTTTCAGTCATAGACATCAATGGGAAGATTCAAACAAACAATACTTAGTGAATTTAAACTTCACCCCATTGAACAAGCAAGTAGCTATCAGGATTCAGTAGCTGAGTAGATAACGCGATGGCGTTTGAAGCGAAGGGTACTGGGTTCGAGTCCCAGAGTGGACATCAATTCTGAGATGCAGGTACATCCAACTGACAAGTCCCAAATAGGATAAAAAGAGCGTCCTATATTCCACTGCTAGCCACTATCCATTTTTGCTCACTATGAAGTACACATATGACAATTAGAAACTGACCAGTTGCAGTCCTAAACATCAATGGGAAAATTCAAACAAACAATACTAATTGAATGTTCAATTTTGATTTGATTATTTCTTTATCTGTTTAATTGGATACATGGATAATATTGATATAACGACTAGTTTTTTTCGTAATAAGATGGTTTTTAATCTTTGGTAACTCAAAGAAAATTTAGGGAGATTATAATTTATGAACGAATTAATTAGATATAAGATAACAGGTGTTGAATTTTGACGTGAAATTCATTTATCCATTTGGCTAAATAACGTTTTGGCGTTTTACTTGATGTTACTTTGTGACGAAAATCCTAGATATAACTCTTAAGCGTAACCCTCAACTATAAAACATAAATCTAATTCATCACACTGATTGAAAACCCTCGTTTAGTCCTAGTTTGTAGGTGGATATTCCCAAGATAACTTTAATGTCGCTCAAAGGTCGTTCATAACTCATATTCTCACTTACAATTTTAGTACTTAAATGATCAACTGATTCCGGACAACTGAGTTTTTTTCATTATTGTTTGCATGTTATTAATTTATAGAATGAAATGTATTTACTTTGAAGAATATGTTCGAATATTCATTCACTAATTGTTTATAATAATTGAGTATTTTAAGTGAATCTAGTGGTAAAATAGAATGATGATTATAGGTGTAGTACTTGATTGATGTATATATTATAATTAATTGTTTAGGTATTAACATTTATGTCAGTTAGCTATTCTGCGTTGGAGACTCAATTCTATGTATCACTGATAATAAACTTGATGATTTTCAGCTAACTAGGCGTAACAAATAGCTTCAGATAACTAATAAAAATAAATGGACATAATGTTTTGAATATGTGTTATTCATTTACGGGACTGATATTCATATGTTCTACTTCATATGGAGTTGTAGTTGTTCAAGCTACTGATTCTCTATTCTTTATTGATTTGCTTAACTAATAAGTCTAATGAAAGTATATACCTTTAAAATAAGAGTTACTATAAACAGTAGTATGAATTTTATTCTCTCTGTTACATTGGAAAATATAACTTTAAAACGTTTGTCCGATTACATTACTAAATGAATGGAACTTTGACGGTAAAAGATAAAATAAGATAACTCATATCTGAATCAATGAACTTCAATGATTGATTCATTAATTAAGTTACAAGTTTTCTGAAATATCATTGAACAAATAAAATTAGAGGTTAAGTTTTTAACCTATTCTTTTATTTATTTATTCATATTCTAGAAAACTTTTTACTTAATGAATCTGTTGGTAAGTTTTCCAAATTTTACAATTTAAAAGAAACTGAATGAATCACTAAGCAAAGATGGATATTGGAAAGCAATGGAATACAGGACACGTGTTTCATCTTATTTGGGACTTGTCAGTTGGATGTGTGTGCATCTCAGAGTTGATATTCAATCTGGGACTCGAATCTAATACCTGTCGCCTCAAACACCACCCCGTTATCTACTCAGCTACTGATTCCTGATAGCCACTTGCTTGTGCAATGGGGTGAAGTTTAAATTCACTCAGTAGCTAGGTGGGATAACGCGGTGGCGTTTGAAGCGAAAGGTAATGGGTTCGGGTCCCAGAGTGAACATCAACTCTCAGATACAGTCACTTCCAACTGGTGAGTCCCAAATAGGATGAAACGCTCGTCCTATATTCCACTGCTACCCACTATCCATCTTTCTTTATAGGGCTCGTGACCTAAGGCAATATTAAGACAGTCGCGCAGGATTCACATATGCCAACAAGAGACTAGTCAACTGCAGATTCCAGTAAACAATACCAAATGAATTTAAATGCATTTTTGGTTATATGGTTCTTAATTAGAGAGATTAGAGAGATGTACATCTATCACTTACATTTTGTAAAACATATTGCATAATAAATTGGCTAATCATATCAATCTACTAAACAGTAAAATTAAATTGGACAAAACTTCCAACCACTGAATTGAATAAAACAAAACTTAACTCATGCTAAATAGATCAAAATCACACATGTTATTGTATCGTTGTGATAATTCCTAGACATCTATTCAAATTTTAACTAATATGAAGCTAAATGTGGTAGAATAAACGTTTGTTACAACTTACAATGACACTTTAGTTTTCTAGACAGATGGAAAGTCAAGTTGCATAAATGAGTTATCAATTGATTAAACATTTACTTATCCATTTGTCTTCCATCAACATAGATGAGTAAGGTAAATAAACATGTTTTGAAGAAATTATCAAAACAGAATATTATTAACGGTTGAATGAGTAGATCTAAGCCAGATCACTGTTGAAATTAATATAATACTCACAAAATCTCCATACTGATAATAATCATGTGCTTACTGGTGACTGGGTTTACTATGTAACTAATAGAGTTCTTGTGAGTAGCAATGCCCAGTGAAGTCCAATCCGTGTCTAGTGCCCCTTTCTACTAATATTAATGTATTTTCACAGTTGAAATTATGAGTCAATTGAAGCTAGACCACCATCAGAAACCTGGAAGCACTGGACGGCCGTTTCGTCTTATTATGGGACTCCTCAGCATTGCGCATCCACAATCCCGCACCCGCGAGATTCGAGCCCAGGACTTACCAGTCTCAAGCCGAAGCCCTTAACCGATAGACCACTGAGCCGGCATCCAACGGTGTTATTGTCTAACTTCAACCAATCCACGATTTTGAGCGACCGTTCACCAATTGTCTTCAGTGAGCTTAAAACTCTACAACAGACCTGGTAGAACTCCACTGGCCACTGCTTCCCACTATAACTCAAGGAAATATCTCTTGAAGTCAGTCACTAGTGAGCATATGATTATAGATCAGAGGGGGTTTTGTGGAGTTCTACCAGGTCAGTTGTAGAGTTTTAAGCTCACTGAAGACAATTGGTGAACGGTCGCTCAAAATCGTGGATTGGTTGAAGTTAGACATTAACACCGTCGGATGCCGGCTCAGTGGTCTATCGGTTAAGGGCTTCGGCTTGAGACTGGTAAGTCCTGGGTTCGAATCTCGTGGGTGCGGGATTGCGGATGCGCAATGCTGAGGAGTCCCGTAATAGGACGAAACGGCCGTCCAGTGATTCCAGGTTTTCGATGGTGGTCTAGCTTCAATTGACTCATAATCTCAACTGTGAAAATACTAAATTTCTCCACAAAACCTCCTCTGATCTATAATATTAATGTGTTTAAATAAATAAATAAATTTGTATGCATTCTATTCTTTTTTAGACTACAGAACATTCCCAGAACTATTGTATCCTCTACTTTCGATTGTCAGCTTATGTAGTTTCTTTCAAATATTGAAAGTAAATATAATGAACACTTAAAATGCAAACTGATTTCATACTTAAATCTTTTATCTATACTTCAATATTACTAAATATTTATATCATTAAATCTATTCCTGTTAATGAACCAAATGTATTTTATGTAAATGACGATACAAATGAAGGTCAACGTATAGGTCGTATTACACATTACAATGGTAATCAACAAGTAAATTTTAAAATAGGTAATATAAAAGCTGTTATTGTACGTGGTAATCGTCCACCTGCTATCTATTTTCGATTAAATGAAAATACTGGTGATTTATATACACGTACTATCATAGATCATGAAGCATTATGTTCAAAACAATCTCAAATAGCCGGTAATCTTAATAATATACCAACAAACAATGATTTCACTGAAACCAATTATCAATATAGATCATTATTATCATCATCAACATCTAATACAAAGATCATCCAACAATGTAAATTTACATTTCAAGTAGCATTACATCGTACCTTGCTATCTGAACAATCACAAAAAACTGATCATTTCATTGAACCTGGATATCCTAATCTACCAGAATTTATTGATATACACATTATTATTATTGATCGTAATGATCATAGCCCTATATTTCAACCACATTCCATGATTAATATATCTATTCCAGAATTAGTACCAATTGGTACACGTATACAATTACCATTAGCTTATGATCCAGATTCACCAGAATTCAGTATACAACGTTATGAATTATATCCTATTACAATAAATGATTTTGCCTTATATATACAAACGACCGATATTATATATAATACAAATATAATACAAGAAATAACTGGATTATATTTAGAAGTGAAAACGCTACTAGATCGTGAATTACGTGATAGTTATATCCTGGAAGTGAAAGCATTCGATTCATCTATAACCAATCCAATGAATTCACCTATCAATGATCATCGTAATGTATTAAAAATATATTTAACCATTGAAGATATCAATGATAATGGACCAATATTTCAACCACAAACTAATTACACACAAATTGAATCATCTATTGATAATACAGCTATTTCAGTAGTATCGTCATCCTCATCTGTATCCTCATCAACATCAACATCATCTGTACATTCAACAACTATTCAATGTTATAAAGTAGATGTAATTGAATCTACATGGACAAAATTACCAATCTTACAATTTCTTACAAAAGATTTAGATAGTCCTAAATATTCCATGACTAAATATGAATTTGATTCAAATACAGATTATAATATTAAACAATTATTTAAATTAAATGAACATACCGGTGAATTATTCTTAAAACAACCATTAGATTATGAAAAACATACTACTTATACATTTAATATATTAGCTATTGATAATGATTATCATCGTCGAAGTAAAGTAGAACAGAACACCTTGATTAATTCCCATTTACATCAGAATATATTTACATCTACAGCGAATATTATTATCAATGTGATAGATATCAATGATGAAATACCAATGATTGAATTAGATTATTTAAGAATAGATGAAACTACAGGTAGACCAGCTACATTTGCACGTATTGAAGAGAATATTGCACCACCACAATTTATAGCTGATATATTAGTTACTGATCGTGATGTGAATACAGTCAATAGTTATGTGATTTGTACTTTATTAGATAAACCAAATAGAATCCATAATCATAATAATAATGAGACAATGAATACATTATTTCAATTGACTGAAATCAAACGTCAATCAGGTTTAGTACAATATAATTTATTAACTATTAATAGTTTAGATAGAGAAGTAAATGGATCTATTATTCGTCCAAGAATTCAATGTACTGATTCTGGTCTAATCAAGAAATCTTCTGAAGTTGACATCATTATACATATCATTGATGTCAATGATAATATACCATTTATTCAACTAATATCAACAACAACAACTACTACTACTAATACTACTAATAATAGTAATATCATTAATTTAAAAGAAAATACACCAACTGGTACAATTATTGGTTATTTTAATATTACTGATAATGATATAGGTGATAATAGTAAAACAAAATGTCAATTATTATCAATCAATAATACTTTATCATTAATCAATATTAATGAATATTTTTTTATTGATCCAATTACATGTAATTTATTAATTAATAAACCAATTGATCGTGAATTATTTTATCCCCCTATTAATCAAATACAATTATTAATTGAAATTAATGATTATGGTAAACCAATATTAAAATCAAATTTATTATTATTAATTAATATTATTAATGAAAATGATAATAGACCATTATTTCAACAAAATTTTTATCATTTTAAAATTAAAGAAAATTTACCTATTGGTACCCCAATTGGACAATTATTAATTACTGATTTAGATGGTGATTATAATCAATTACAAATAATGATTAATAGAAAAAAACAACAAAAAGAAGAAAAACAAAAAGGAAAAGAAAAAGAAAATAAACAATTACCATTTCAATTATGGAAATGTAATATCTTTTCATCATCATCATTATCATCAACATCCTCAATAAATCAATATAATATAACTAATGAATTTAATGATCTACCAATCATCATATATTATATCAATACAACAAAAGTACTTGATTATGAAGAGAGATCTACATATGAATTTGAAGTATTAGCTACTGATTTACTACCTACTAGTACTACTACTACTACTACTACTTATAATCATCATCATAATCAATTATCAATGAAATCTTTTAATGATTATACAACTAGTACAACTATATTAATTACTATTGAAGATGAAAATGATAATGATCCAATGATAATATTTCCTAAACAATCTGATAAATTATTTATTATAACAAATTTACAAAAAAAATATTATCAATTAATGACTGTGAATGTTAATGATAAAGATTCTATATCAAATTCATTTATATTTATATTAGAACAATTAAATATATCTAATATCAATATAAATCAATTAAATAATATAAAAATCAATGAAATCAATTTTATTAATCAATCAAAAATCAATAATTTTTTAAATATTGATCGTAATTTAGGTATTATTTATTTAAATAGAGATATACAATATAATGATACAGGTTATTATATATTTAATATTATTGTATATGATAATATAATTAATCCACGTAATGCATCTATTCGATTTATTGTTAAAATTGAATCAATACCATTTTTATCTAATCAATATAATAATCAATATAATAATAAAATCAATAATTTATTAAATAATAATTATAATTATTATAATTTATATTTAAATGATAATTATATAAATTCACAATATTTTGATGATACTACTAATGATTATACTACTTATTATTCAAATAAAAATCTACAGAACTACTCTAATTCTTTATTATCATTATCATCATCTAGATTATATAAATCAACAAAACAATTCACTTATTATTTAACAAATGATACAATATTAATTCTTTCATTAGGTTTAATATTATTAATATTATTAGCTACATTATGTTTAATTATATTTGCTAGACATTGGTCTATGAATACAATAATACAACAAAATACATTTGATAAATTACAATGTAATCATTTATTATGTTGTAAGAAATCTAATGGTAAACAATTACGTAATAATAATAGTAATAATAATATTAATAATAATAATAATAATGATAAAAAAGAAATAATCAATAATATTCAATCAATATATTCCCCTCAGAAACATAATTATTCACCAATTAATTTAAATTATGATCATACAATAAAATCAATAAATTTATTAAATGATAATTTATTAACACAAAATATAATAAATAATGAAAATAATCATAATAACTATAATAATAATTATTATCATCATTGTAAACAATATAAATTATTACCTATTATAACAAGTACAAATAATTCATTGAATAGATCCTATGTAACAGATTATACACCATTACAAACAATTACATCATGTAAATGTTGTCTAACACCTACATTATGTAATACTAATCAATCATGTAATGAACAGTTCAATAGATCTTTTATAATACAATCTATCAATGATAATAATAATAATAATAATAATACCTTAGATATCAATCAATTATGTAATGAACCAATTTCATATTATAAAACAATATCACCAAAATTAAAATTACATAATTTGAATGAAAAACATAATGTACAAATGTTGTCAATGAATGATAATGTACAAAATGAAATAGAGAAAAATTCTCCTACTGAATATTTAACAACTTAATAAAAATTATTTAATATGTAAGTAGTTTATTTATTTACTTAGTTACTTAGTTATCTACGCCTGTCACTCCTCGTGGAGGAGCATAGATCTACCACAAGCATTCTTCATCTAATCTTGCCCTAGGCAATTCTTTTTCGGTTCTTTCCAGTTGCTATTTATTCTTTTTTTATATCTGCTTCTATTTACCGAAGTAATATGTTCCTTGACCTTCCTCTTTTTTCAATTCCCTTCGGGATTCCAAATTAGGGATTACCTCGTGATGCAGTTTGGTGATTTCCTCAATATATAACCTATCCACTTCCAACGTCTTTTTTCCTAATTTCCTCTTCAGCTGGAAGCTGTATTATTCTCTCCTATGTAAAACTGAATTTTAACTCAGAACTCGATAGTTATGAATTACGTACGTTAAACATGCAATCATTACTTTACACGTCATGTCCCAATTAAAGTTTGATATATGGATTTATATAGAGCTACATTCTCGAATTTACATTGTTCATCTCATATTAATATTTTTTTAAATAAGTAAATATCCTTTTATCCTATATTTATTGGGAATAAACTCAACTGGTAGATGATGATTGTTAGCAGCCGTTGAAATGCAATCCTCTCCTACTTCAATTGTATTCTACAGTGTTATAACTATATATATAACATTATTATGCTATTTGTATGTCAATAAAAACAAATTTACTTATGATTTCTTTGCCAATTTATTTCCTACTGAATTAGTTAATCGGACATTTGGAGATGAATTCAGCAAGTAAATGTTACCAGTCCGATGGCTAATAAAAACTTATTTCCATAAATCTATTCTACCTAGAAGTCAAATTTCACTTCTCTATATACCTTTTATTACTTTAAGCGTAGGACCAAGACCGATATCAACAAACTAATAATTTACTGTCAACTGTTTACACTAGCATCAGTTTACACTCGCTGGACTCTCAAGATAACATCTACAAATAACACTTTTTTTAAATCAATCTCGAAGCAATTCAACAACTGATCAGCACATGAGGACTCCCTTTATTTTGTTTATGAATTGGAACCATTAGAAAGATAAGGTATTCACTGACTATATTTTTGTACATTGATCATAGCACACTGTTAAAACGTTTTAATGTGGACGATAAATCCGCCTAGTCATACCTAGATTTGATTGGTTGTCCAGCTGATATCGGTTCATGATGAAATGTAGTTTGAAATTAATCTAACATTCAGAAATAAATTTATTAAATAAAAAATAGTTTTTCATTGAGTTCATTTGGTAATATTTCTTTGAATCTTCCCATTGATATTTTGAACTGCAACTGATCAGTCTCTTATTGATATGTGTGCATGGTGTACGGAATGTCTCGATATTGCCCTAAGTCACAAGCTTTATGAGCAAAGATGGATGGCGGCTAGCAGTCGAAGCCTGAACGCACATTTTCTCCTATTCGGAACTCATCAGCTGAATGTGCCAGCATCCCAGGTTTGATGTTCACTCCTGAACTCGAATCAAGCTAGGCTCAGTCACATCTTGGATTCCACTGTTAGCCATCATCCATCTTTGCTTATAATTTGCCACCAGTTTCTAATTTAACATATTAATAAATATTTACTGACTTGCACGTCAAGTTAATTATAATTAATACTTAAGTTATTAACTGACGCTTAGAATCCTAAATAATCAACATTAGTACATCATTATCCTTTAATTATTTGATAATTGATATAAATTACATTAATAATTAGGTTTAAAGAAAGATATAATTGATTGTATTATTGAAATATTGGACAATAATAATAAGAAGAACCTATCATTACCATTCATAACATCTTCATTATTATGATTATTACCTTCAATTATCTCAAATGTCAAGATATAGTATGTCTATAGTATGAATAGTATAACTTGGATAAATGATTTAATGGACAAACACTCATACATATTCACTAATTTACGCACATACACACATATATATTCAAATGAAAACAGTATTCTTAAAAAGATACTATCAAAAAATATAATGAGTATCCTTTTTCATCTTTGTTTTATAACGAAAGGTTTAAGTACCATGTCAATTATCACTTAAAAGTAATTGAAAAGATCTTGAAGGATTGTAGATATTCCTTTGTATGCATTTGATCATGACGATACATGTATATGTGTACATTTTCGGTATATGTTCAAATCGATGTAGTGCTATATGGAGAATAATTAAAATAGTAGGACATGAAAATCACTAATACAACTGATATGAGAAGTAGTAACCGGTGGATTTCAACCAGGTCTGGTGGGAGATATCAACTCACTGATAACATTAGTGAATGGTTGCTCAATTTCGTGGATTGGTTGAAGTTAGGCATTAATACCGTTGCATGCCGAATAACTCAGTGGTATATCAGTTAAGTGATCTGGAGCGAGACTGGTAGGTCCCGGGTTCGAATCTCGCGAGTGAGGGATCGTGGATGCGCACTGCTGAGGACTCTCACAGTAGGACGAAACGGCTGTCCAGTGCTTTCAGGTTTTCCATGGTGGTCTAGCTTCAATTGACTCATGATCTCAACTCTATGATATTCATTGAATTCAATTTAGTCATATAATACTCACAAATCTTCAAAAACATTGGATCCATATAACGAAAATTTAAAGAGTCAGTGTAGAAAGTGTTTTTTTTCTCTTTTTTTCTTTCTGTTTATTTTTTTTGTCGGAGAAATCAATCAATTTCCCTGTTCATACTTCTAATAATAAATAATGTTATTGATAAGCATTAACATTATTCATATCAGTTTCCCCCATGCTTATTCCTACTTCCCCCTCCCTTTTTTATATAAATTAATAATTTCATTTTTAGTGAAAAATATCAATTTTTGGACATTAGAAATGATGATAAATATCAAATATTAAATGGATTAAAGTGAAACTAATAAGACATGGATTCAATTAAAGAGTAACTCCATAAATAACATTAATGAATGAATAAATAGATAGAAACTAGGTAACAAAATGGATAACCTTAAGTATACTTACAATATTAATGTCTAATGGGGGGGTATATATTGCCTAGATATAATTATAGTGATTAGTGGTCTATCGATTAAGTGATCTGGCGCTAGACTGGTAGGTCTTGGGTTTGAATCTCACGAGTGCGGAATCGTGGATGCGCACTGCTGAGGAGTCCCATAATAAGACGAAACGTCCGTCCAGTGCTTCCAGGTTTTCGATGGTGGTCTAGCTTCAATTGATTCATCATTTCAACTATGAATATAATTATAAGTTCATTTTTAAACAATAAAAACATGATATATCTAATATGGTCCAGTTTTCAACAAATTTATCATTAAACTGTACAGTCGTATTTATATATGGAATCCCAATGAGTAGAAAAATTAGATTTACTGACGTTTCATGACTCAGTGTAAGTCGCTTCTTTAGAGAACAAATAACCAAATTAACATGAATCCAAGTTTAAATAACACAATGGAACAATACGTATCACAATTGATTGATCACTGGTAACGTCTGTGACTGTGAAGCTGAGTGACGCGGGATCGAATCCGCCAGGGAGCATCAGTTCCCTCAGGATTACAGGTACACCTTGCTGACGGGTGCCAAGTAGCACGAAACCCGGGTCCAGGGTTTCCTGTTGACCACCTCCAAACACCATCTTACCTCAGAACAATACGTATATTAGGTTCGATCAATCAAAAAACAGGTCTGAATAAATCATTGTCATGTCATTTCGGTCAAGGTCATTCATAAGCAACATGTATGTAAATTTGTATTTGTGTGTATGTGTGCTCTGTTAATAATGAAAAATGTGTGACTTTTAATGACAAAGAATAAAGTTTAATTTGTAATGTAATGGTGTGAATTGTAAATAATATCAGACTAAGTGACTAGAATAGATAGTCCAAGTAGGATGTATGGTAAGGCCTTCGTTTCTATTGAGATAAGTAAGATTAATTACTTTATATGGAAAGCTCCATCTATTCCCCTTTCTTTGTAATTGGAAAAACCCTTCTGCAATATTTTGATATTTTGAAATCGATTTGATGATTGTTGAAAATGGCGTGAACTGCTATTGCCGATTTAATTTGAAGTCTATCCAGTTCTACAGGATTATAAGGTTTCGTCGTGTATCTAATATGTTCTTTGGCACGAGTCAAGATTTCGCAAGATGACTCTCCAATATAGAAAGCATTACAATCGGCACAGCCTGATTTCTGGACGCAGTTCTGTGTAGACATGTTTAAAATGTGAACAGTGAATAAACATGATGATTTAATAAAACTGTACAACTTGGTCAGAAATTATTGGTCTAAAGAGATTTCAGCTGATTTTAGCTAGAACAACATTGAAAACAAGGAAGTTCTGGATAGCTGTTTTATTCTGATAAGAATATGTGACCGGTGAAGATCAATCATTATCAAATATAAGACAGAAGACCACTGCAAATAATGAATGATGTTATTTCAGAAACGTGAATTAGTTGACATGTACACCATTAGATTCCGACTATGTTTTAGGTGTTACGAGAGTGAGACCGAAGATCCTGTGTTAAACTCCTTATGGTGGGGTCGTTGATCTACATTTCTGATTACGAAAAATAATATTTTTCATAGGATGAAGTAAATCACTTTTTTTTACCAGTGTATGATATTCATGAATGAATTTATTAGACCTTCGTCTTCTTCTGGGTCTTTCAAAAATGAATTCCTGGCTGTTGACTAAGTCTACAATTTTTCAATAATTTTGAATACTGACTAATAATAAGATTTAATGGTGTGCATTTAGCCAAGTTTAAGTTTTGTCAGTTGAAAAATCAATTTCAATATTAAGCGTAATTCGGAACCACAAAAAGATAATCATACTTCAGAATGGGTTTTGTGGAGATTTCAGCATTTTCGTAGATGAAATCATGAGTCAATTGAAGCTAGACCACCATGGAAAACCTGGAAGCAATGGACAGCCGTTTCGTTCTATTATGGGACTCCTCAGCATACTTAATTATTTAATTTTATAGGGGATTCTCTATATAATGTAAGAGATGTTAATCTCTCCTTGTTTGCATTACTTGTTGAATTTTGATTAGTACCAACTGACATGCATGAACACTGAACAGATTACCTTACTATCCCAATTCATTTGTATAATTATACTGAAGTTGGATATCAGTTGTCAGTGAAATCTTTAATGAACATTTCGTTCAATTTTTAGACTCTTCAGATAGATAATCCTTTATCTTTGTAATGATTTGGAAAATTCAAATTCAGGAGGACGGTCGCGGTCTGGATAGCTCAGTGGTAACGTCTCTGACTATGAAGCTGGTTGACACGAAATCGAAACCGTCAGGGACCACCAGTTCCCTCATGATTAGATACACCTTGCTGACGAGTGCCAAGTAGCACGAAACCCGGGTCCAGGGTTTGCTGTTGACTACCACCATCTTAAAATTCAAGATAATTTAACTTTAAGATTAGTTTAAGCCATCAGATAGTATAACATATTTCGTTTGTAGCTATTTGATTATAAATTCTTATTCGCTTATAAATTTATTAAACATGTGTTAGCTATTTAAATAAATGAAATCTATTGAATCTACTGAATATTGAATATTGGTATTCATTGAATGCGAATCTATTGAATTTTGATAATTGAAATTGATACATGTAATAAATATAATATCAGAAGGGATTTTTGTGGATATTATAGTAATTTTAATAGTTGAGATCATGAGCTGTGGATGCACACTGTTGAGGAGTCTCATATTGGAATGAAACGTGCGTCCAGTGCTTTCAAGTTTTCCGTGGTGGTCTAGCTACAATTGACTCATGATCTCAACTAATTAATATTTTTATTAGGTGGATTATTGTATATACATCATTATTATTGTTAACTATTATATTACTAACAGACGTTATAGATATAATTACTTAAATACTACATAATATATATATTACACGAAAGATCGGTTGAAGTTAGACATTAACACCTTTAGATGTCGGACCATTGGTTTGGATATTAAGCATTAGTACACGAAACTCAATGTTTTGAGTTTGGGTCCCAAGTATAGGTTCATGGATGCGCACTGCTTAAGAGTCTTATACTAGGACGAAACGGCCGTCCTGTACTTTCAGGTTTTCAATGGTGGTCTAGTTTAGACCGATCCCTAAAATAAAATGTTATAATTACCACAATCTCCATAAATCCTTATTCTGATAAAAATTATAATCAGTTAAATATTTTGAGTTCACAATTGCGTCTAATTCTTCGCTATCAAAGGTTTAGTTCATGAATTTCATGTTGAAGTTTATTTTCACCATAAGCTGGTATTTGTTAGAGACTTATCGTGAACAGCAGTATTTTTGTTGTCTTTCTAAATAAAATCATCGGCAAAAAAGTTAGGTAGATCTATTCAAATTTCTTCAAAAAATGTCTAAGGACTAATAACGTCGACCTTGACAGGTTATTGTTGACTATTTGCTTGTTATTATCTGTATATTTATTTTGATTATCTTCTTCTTTGATTTGATCTTTGACCTTGAAATTGTTTGTAATTTTTCAGAACAATTCTGTTATGATCTGACCTAGCCGTCGGCAATTTGTTATGTTTTTGACCTAGACTGTAGCCAATTGTTATGACTTGATCTAGGTCGTCGCTGATTCGTTATGACCTTACGAATTTAACAAGGACGTAAGTCGCGTAAATTATCCACCAATAGAATACGCCTTCTACGACCTTCACACTGTGACAATGACGTTCTATTAGTATGAATAATCTAGCGTCCTTATTGGTCCTTATCCGCCTAACCCGTTCACTTGAGTCCAAAACACCAATAGCAGCCTCGGCAATACGAATCGTTTATTTCAAGCATACTTTGTTTATATATCAGACAGACAGGCAACATCATACCATAAAATAGAATATAATATTTGTACAAAACCAGACCAAATGAGGCTGTAAGCGTGGGAGACAATAATCAATAAACTGAGTATAACTTAGGAACAGTAAATCATACAATAATAATCAATAGGTCAAAATGAAGCTTACAATAAGATGAATATAGATATAGATAATCTAGTTACCGAATAGTTATACAATAATAATGATAGTCCAATAGTAGGTCCTGCAAGTTACCCGTACTTATGTCTTCGCTACTACATAACAAATTCCCTAACATATTGACAATTGATCCTACCTAACTCTTCAATATTACATAGAGCTACGAAACATCAATATAGAATCAAACATATGAACTATAGTATCATTTTAATCAATGTATCAATACTCAAATATCATTATCATTTATGCATGAATATTATTCAGTCTTATCGACTACTCATCATCGAATTAAGTACCATTTTTCTATGTGATAGCTTTCCACTGAACAAACTAAAAATATCCATAACAGCTAACCAATTCACTAACATCGTACGATATTACCATTACTTTATTGTAACTCATGTATCATAACAATATTTAATGTCTTATTATGTAATTCATATTTCGATAATGCAATGAGAAGACGAAGTTTATCAGAATTATGTGTTATATTAGCGCAATACATTTCGAACAATCTGATCACACATATACTTGTTAAGACATTTTTTTAATATGAAAATTAAAAGGTCAACTAGACAGGTTAAGGTAAGAAAATAAATAAAGTACACAAAAACAATGTGATGACTACTCTGGATAATAAATCAGCATTACCAGGGTAGGTTAAGGGTAAGAACAAATTGTTTTTGAACACATAAAGGGGGTTTCAATTTCCGTATAGCCAAGGCTTCAATAAACCTTAGTATACGTCCTTGAAGGCTTTTGTACAACACTACAAATGCTGATTTGATGTCAACCTTATGACCAGTTTCAACTAAATGTTTCGCAATAGAGGAAGATGTTTGTCTGTCCTGTGATCTTATTTGACTATTCGAATTCATTTGGTTCTGTAGTCATTTAGGTATGTGTTCCACCACCCTTATTTGCAAATCACGATTGCTCCTCCCTATGTACGTGTTACCGCACATACATGTAAATTGGTATACACAATGGGATGTGACACAATCGCTTATATGCTGTCTAGGTTTTTGGTGAAACATCGACCTTGTCTTTTCAATGATGACAAGTTGAGCTGCATAGAATGTCCTATTTATGGCTAATTTTAGTCTCCGTCTTAACATGAGACTATTAGAGTCACTTCTAAATGGTAATGTAATATAAACTCGCTTTTTGGGTGCCAGAAGCGTAATAGGTCTAATCGTATTGCAACCCTTCCAGCGGTTTATGAACTTAAATGAATAACCGTTATTCATTAACGTAATTCATATTGTTTTTTTTGCCTATTCTAGAACTGATTCCATCAAATGAAAGAATATTCGTTTAAAATGAACATTCATGGAAGTAATTCTATGAATCAACGATGATGAACAAGAACTAATCAAGGCATCACCAGCAAAACTTTAATCTCCAACTTAATCATAATTAAACATAGATTGAGAAAATAATAATATTTTTTAACCTTATATATATATATACATCTATATCAAAACTATTCTATTTTGTCTTGTTCAATTTTCGTTCCGATTTGTTTTCTTTTTTTTGTTTAAATGTTTTATTGTTCAATGTTCACTGAATTTTTTTTGTTTTTGTTTTATTTTCTACTACTATCATTATAAGTATTATTAATGATAATGACACAAAAAAAAACACAGTGATGATGATGATGATGATGACGATGATGATTTAAATACACAATTATTGTTATTTAATGTTTATATTTATGAAAAGGGTTTTTGTAAATAAATGTAATAATGAGATCTTCTTTTTCTTTTGTAATTAAGTAAGACTGTAGTAAACGAGAACACGAGTGGGGACAGTTGAATGTATTAAAGTAAACATTATAGACCATCTAACTAAATTCTGATAATCATACAGTAAACATTGTAATCAAAGATGGCTAGAAGTGGAATCGAGGACGAGCATTTCAATGTTCTATTTTGGACTCGTCAGCTGGATGTACCTACACTCCAGAGTTGAAGTTCAATCTGGGACTCTTATAAATTCAAAAATATTGAATTCCGTTAAATACTATATTAGTGCAAACATTTAAGAGTTTAGTTGGTGTTATAAACTAAAGATATTGAAGGTTCTTGTCGATTACATCGTGAGTACCAAAAAAACAAAACCTCTTGGGTTGATAAGTATCAATCAATAGATTTATATCGTATCTAAAATATAGTTACAAATGTGGAAAGATACTGTGTCTGACTTATCGTAATAATAATATTATTTTGTAATAGCAGTGCGCACTGTTGAAGAGTCCCACAATAGGACAGAACGGCCGTTCAGTGTTTCCAGGTTTTCCTTGGTGGTATAGCTTCAATTGACCCATGCTTTCAACTATGAAAATACTGAAATCTCCACAAAACCACCTCTGATTATAGAAAGTGTTTCCTATTGTTAATTTTCACAACTTTGACTTGCTAGACCCTATACTATACTTCCAATCGACTGAACTTGAATAAACTATCGTTTGAATAACGATGTATGAATGTTATACATAAAGTGAATAGTATCGTAAATTGTCGAAAATTTATCTCAACTTGTCCCAATATTATTCAGACCACAGGCTTCCTTACTTAGTCAGCATGTATATTGACTATTGCAGCCTACATACCAGAGAGAAAAAGAAAAACTGATCGAAAGTATTAACGCATAAAAGTTATATGAAAATGGAAAACACAAGTGTTCTTATGGAAAACCAAAATTGGCTGTCGTTAATTTACTAGAAAAAAAAGGATACAGTCATTGTAAGTAGAAATATATTTACATATTTCGTGATATTAACTTTTATGTGTCTGATAAAATGTACAAATACATTGTAGTGTTATACAAGCCCATATAGCTAATACCAGATTCCGGACAGGCCAATTTATTCATTCTTCTTGAGTCATATCTTTGATCTTGTTATTTATTCGTTTATCAACCTTGACTGTTTCTATATAAGTGAATGTGTGTGCACTTAGCCTATTCATTACATGTCTGTAGATTATTTTTGTTCGGCTATAAATATCGATTCACATTTGGTTAAATCGAGTCTACCCATCGAAGACAACAGAAGATGATTGTGCTCGATTTTGTGGATTGGTTGAAGTTAGATATTAACCTCGCTAAATACCGACAGGCTCAGTGGTCTAGGGGTTAAACGTTCGAGCGCGAGACCGGTAGGTCCTGTGTTCGAATCTCGCTTGTGAGTATATCAACCATCCTTTAATCAATTCCGATTATAGTCAATTTTGGTTAAGCCCTTTTTATTAACTTACTTAACAGACATCGTCATTTGGATAGTAACAATTTGCATATTCTTTGCACTGCTATACCACTAGAGCACATGACACTCTATTCGAAATGTTGACTGCTTAAATATCATTCAATGACTCATACTCCTCACACTTATATGTATGCACACAAATACTATCATCAGCCTTTGTTTTCCTTTGCTGTGCCCTTATTAAATGTGACTATAAATTGCCTATGTATTTGCTTGCTATTCGCTAGCTTGCTCCTCGTTCATTTCCTTCGCTTGTTCGCCTGTTCACTCACTCTCTCGCTCGTTGATATTCGCTCAGGTGTTGTTAACTTTCTGACCTGAGTTATTCGACAATAAACTGTAGTTGCTGCTATCTTTTGTCTTCTGATTTTACGCACCGTTAAGATTAGAATTATAACGGTTATCGAAGTAAACGATTAATGAATCGCGGCACTACATGAGATCGTAGATGTACACAGCGAGACTAAAGTATACTGACGACCTTTGAACGATTCTTGAATGACCTTGAGAAATATTAACCAATCAGAAGACAGTTAGTATACCGTAAAAATATATTATACAAAACTCAAAAATTAAAGGGGATACTGTTCTTTAGATGACTCAAAAACTTCTCAAGGTCAGATATAGGTTCAGAAGTTCTAAAATCATAGTGCATACGATACAGGAACACATCCATATGGCTTCATAGTAGTCGACCTCTGAAACCATGATAAGGTCTCAAAAGTTCTTTTAGCTTCGACCACATTGCTTCAATGTCGTTGGTATATGGGTATGGCTTACGGTTTAGGGTTAGAGTTAAGTTTGAGGGTTAGGGTTTAGGGTCAAGGGTGAGACCATAATTTATGGACGACCTTTGAGCGACGCTAGAGTGACCCTGAGAGACCAAATGAGGGCTATAAACCTGTGTGAAGAGTTTAAATTATGATTTACAGTTCATGGTTAAGGGCAGGAATTATACTTAGGGTTTTCATCACGAACTGACATCAGCTATAATGCCAAAACTCTATTTATCCAAATGGATAATTGAATTTCGCGCCAAAATCTTATGATCACTCCTCTTGTAGACACTGAATTATCACGTCTTCTCTAAAATCCTCTGTAAACCGTTCGTACGTAAGCATCAGGTACCGAATCTAGCGCCGTGACCTTAAAAACCCGCGAAAGCTTCTGATTGGCTCGTCGGTATAGTTTAGTTTCGCCTATTCATTCATTCATAATATCAATAAAAAGGATTAATAATTTCATTACCCTATAAACAGTTTACTTTTAACTCTCTATTATATTCTCTAGTAAACTGTAATATTTTCAATAAAACATCTGTTAGTAATTAATACTATTAATGGGTAAAAAAACATCATCAAGGATCATTTTCTTTTTCTTTTTTTTAAAATGTAAATTATTAATTTAATTCAATATGTTCAATGTTTACTTTTATAGATTGTTCAAAACTTTTTTACAGTCTACATTTAAAACGAAAAAAGAAGAATAAGATCACAGATGTTTTGATCAAACAACTTTCCACCTGTTCTAAGTAAATAAACAATAGTTGCTATGTGTTAATTGATAAAATGTTTCCCCTTTTATTCCCTCCTATTCTTCTTCTTTTTCCTATTCTCCTTTTTCTTCTTCTTCTTTTTGTTATCCTCACTATTATTGGAATTGACTTTCTCTTATTAGGTATTATAGTTTGTCATAGTTGAAAACGTGAGTCAATTGAAGCTAGACCAACATGGAAAACCTGGAAGCACTGGGCGGGCGTTTCATCCTATTATGGGACTCCTCAGCAGTGCGTATCCACGATCCCGCCTCGTGAGATTGGAACTCGGGACCTATCAGTCTCGTGCACGTATGCTTAACCTCTAGATCAGTTAGCCGGCATCCAACGGTGTTAAGTTCTAACTTCAATTGATCTGCAAAGTTGAGCAACCGTTCACCAGTTGTCTTCAGTAAGTTCCTATCTCACAACAGACTTGGTTTGAACTCCACTGGTCACTGCTTCTCACTAGAACTCCTCGATGTACTTCTCGAAGTCAGTCACTAGTGAGCATATGATTATATTGATTATCAGAAGGGGTTTTGTGGAGATTTAGTATGTTTCATAGTTGAAAGCGTGAGTCAATTGAAACGGTCAAGTGCTTCCAGGTTTTCCATAGTGGTCTCGCTTCAATTAACTCACGCTTTCAACTATGAAAATACCAAATCTCCACGAAACTCCTTCTGATAATTGTTATAGTTTAATTAACTGATTTCTTTTCTTTTGTAGTTTTAGTAAAATTAAGAATAATTTTCATGACAAAAATAACTTTAATTCTTAAATCATTAGAAACCATGAAACATTCTAGTTGCAACCGTTTGTCAGTAACCAGTCATATTATAAGAGGTAACATTTATTTTTAAAAGTTGGATTCATGAGTCTATGTAAGCTAGATCACCAAGGTAAACCTAGAAGCACTGAACTGACTTTTCATTCTAGTATAGGACTACCTCAGCAGTACGCATCCACGATTCTGCAAGCGGGATTCGAATCCAGAACTTATCGGTCTTGCGCGTTAACGTTTAACTTAAAGATAATTGAACCTGTCTTCAGTGAGTTACTATCTCACAACAGATACGATTGAACTCCTTTGGTCATATTTAATTACTAGAACTCCAGGAAATACCTCTTGAATACAGTCACTAGTGATTATATGATGATTATTATCATTGTTTTTTGATGACAAATATAATTCTGAAGAACAAGTTTTACTCCAGTTCTATCAACCTTGGTTAAACATTTTATTTATAAAACTTTTTAATGAACATAACTATTCATAAGGTTTTAAATGCTAATTTTTTGCTGATATCTGTTAAACACAAAATTTATCTTGATGATTTCATATCAAGTACCTTCTATACATGATTATGAAGAATAGCGTATAGAGTCAATGACTTTCATTTTGATCTATGTAAGAGGTTACCGAATTTCTGATTACTTTCCTTGAATTGATCACATTCTAGAATATTAAATCTAAGTTAACACACATTATGATTAGTTTCAGCAGAGCAGATCTTAATTCAAATTTAAGTTTTCTATTTCAGAAATTTATTTATTTTCTTCAGATTACATTCTCCGTTTCCAAGATTTTATCAATTATGGTACTGTAACTTTGACATTTATGGTCACTATTCTTGTGTATATCATTACTAAAATCTAAGTTGACAATGAATGATTGACTGTTATTACTTAAGTTACTAATTTAACTGAATGTAAAAACCATCGAATAAAATCAAATAAAACTTGTTTTATGTGTACATAGAAAAAAAATATTATGATCATTATTAGAAGGGGGTTTTGTGGAGATTTTAGTAATTTTGTATAGTTGAGATCATGAGTCAATTAAAGCAAGACCACCACGGAAAACCTGGAAGCAATGTACGGCCGTTTCGTCCTATTATGGGACGCATCCACGAGATTCGAACCCAGGACCTAATAGTCTCGCGCCAGAG